TCCAGGCATGCCATACGCAGCTAATATTTTAAATTCGTTAGTTTCTCGGTGAAAGTGATCTTTTGATAACAACCGGATCATCCAATTCGCTTATCAATACAAACCCTTCCATTGTTAGTGAAAGATAATTGGCTACAATTGAAAAATTTTTAAAAGTTTATTTCAAAAAACCAAAAATCAAATAAGTCATTCAAATAAAACCAGCCACTTGAAACACACCATTAAACATTGAAGTTTGACCAAATTTTTCAATACCATACCATTGAACTAGTCTTTCAATTAATCTTAATAGCCAATGAATATTTTCATTATTTTTATTTGATCCAAATAAATAAACCCACCTGCGATAAATTTTCATAACAGAATGAGCTAAATAATGATTATTAACTGATGCATAATTTGATACTAAAGCATTATCAATGATAATTGTACCTGATGGTGTTAATGGTGCATAATAACCTTCTTCTATTGTTAAATAAATATTTTGAATTTTAGCTGATATAATTTCATTTTTATAAACATATTTTACATGATCACCTAAACGCAATTGACTAGCAAATATAGCAGATTTTAATTCTGTATCATTTGCTAAGAATATTAAATGATTAGGTGATATAAATAAACATGTTGTAATATTTCTATGATCATCAATTTCTATATTAATTAATAAAAAACTAAATAAACCATTTCGCTTTAAATGAATAAAACCTTCAATAGGTTCATAAATTAATTTATTTTCTTTATTCATAACGAGTACACGGTCACCAATTTCTATATTTGATAAAGATTTCATTAAACCATTTTCAGTTACAACGATACTTCGACCAGGAAAGCATTTTGGTTCACGTCTTTCAGTTACACAAGTATATTGAAGACAAACATTACCATTCGATGATATTGAAGCACAGTTACATGTTGAATCATATTGATGACTTTGACTGTTAATACAATCAAATGATAATATTAAAAAACATAAACAAGCAATAGACAGAACAGACATTTGTATGTTGAAGTAATCGGGAATACGAGTGCTAAAGAAAAAAAATCCGCCGATGAATAAGAGTATTTCTTTAGTTCTATTGGATGATGTGTCAATAATAAGGGTACGACCTTCCTTCATTTCTATTGGTTTAATAATGTTAAGGTCAGAGGTCAATATGCTGCAAAATCCTTTGACCTCATGACCGATGATAGCTGCCTGCTCGTTCTGTCTTCTATTCATTCTTGTTTCTCTTCTAACTCTTTCCTCTTTTCCTCTCTCATACATAAATTCATGTTTTGTGTGAAACAAGCACAACTGGAGTGATATAGCAGCGTAATGAACATCTTTACCGAGGGCTAAAGTCCTTCACGATAAGACTTTTTTGTACCCTACAGCAGTTTCGCTACCCTTGCCATACCCTATTCTACAAGATTCATATCCTAATCCTACTCTACCCTATGGACTGTCTACCCTAACCGTACTCTGTCCTATTGGTTTTATAGCTTACTACCTGAAGATTTTCAGATTTTGGCAGGTGTCAACATTACATTTTCTTGACTTTTTCAGCACGTTTTTTGATTTCCAACGATAATCAAATATAAAATTATCACAACATGAGCATCATTCTAAGCCTACCTTAATAATTGAGATGGTAGATTACAGCTCTGAGAACAGCTAGTGATAGATAATGAACTACATAGATAATTAAATTATCAATCAGTAGCATTCTTGAGAAATATGTTGATATGGGTTGGTAGAGTTTTCTTAGTAACGAATATCGCAATGCCTACTTTTCAATTCGATCAATCGATCGAAGTATAACTTTTCTTACTAGATTAATTGAAAAAAAAGATTGCAATAAACTGTAATTGTGTTCAAGAAAAAAAACATAACGTAATCAAATATAGAAACGACCATTCGTTTTTCTACGAATTATCGATATCTCGATAAATGACACTCAAAGCGTCTTCGCATCGAACTTCGCAGTTCCAAAGAAATTCTTAAGCTATGTGATTCCCCTAAACAGATTGGGGTATAGATCATTTAACTTGTTTTAGTTTAATTATTTCCCATAAGTCAGGTTCAGAAAAAGTTGTCATATCTTATCTTATATTCACAAGTTCTCATGGAGTCAACATAATACATATAATTTTCACTGGGCGATTAAGTCATGCATATAAGATATGTTCTGAAAGATTGATGTTCACATTTTCATAATAGTTTTTAAGAGATTAACTTTGATGGAACTCTATTAGGGAAAGTTTTTCCCCTTCCCTTCGCCCTACTCTGATAAACGTCCACATGGGAAGAATTATGGCAGTAAAAAATTGTCCTCCTGGAAAGAAAAGAGTAGAAGAATCGAGTTATCGACATAATTATATAGATATGTAATATGTCTGTCTGGACTAGAAGAAATTTTTAAGCATATATTAATCATGAAAACTATCAGATAATCTCCAAAATTGCGGCAAAAATAGATGTTTTTCAACATCATCAATGAATATTGATTTAGTAATTATACTAGATATCCCAAATAATAGTTATACTATTCAGGGCGAAGATCCATAATGTGATAATAGGTTTTTAATATGGTAGTACATACATAGATGACAAAAAGTTTATATTATAGTTGATGATTCTCCTAATATAATTATTTGGAAATAAAAAAAAGTGATCACATTATTATGTGTAATGTAAAGTTTAGTTATATTATCAAATAAAATGAAATTTCTCTAATTTTCTACTTTCTTTTGAATATCTCTCACCACATATATGGATTAACTGTTTAATATTTTTATTACTATTATTCTCATTTCTTGAGCACTTTCAAAGATGTATAAAGTGCACACTCATTATCGATCATCTATTTAAGAAAAGCACCAATAATAGAACACTTTAAAGTTGAATTTTCTATAACATGGTACTATTTTTTTGCCTATACAACAAGGGGGAACAAACTAATTACTTGATTACTTGATTACCAATGATTACTAGTGATTACTAGTAATTACCGGTGATTTCTGGTGACTTTTACTACTTCCCAACGACTTTAGTTTTTCTCTTTGTCATTTATAGATTTCTTTTTTATTCAATTACTATCATCATACCTAAACGTTCAGATGAGAAATAGGCGAAATCAGAGAAACGATGTCGCAGTAAACTAGTGTGAAACTAGAAGATGCGACCTTTAATAATCTCTTATTCATTTTGGAAATAGAAACGGTTGTTCCATCGACTGAAACGAGGGTCATATGAAATAAAATCGGTTTGCTTGGTTGCTTGTAAGGGAGAACAAACTGATTTCTTGATTTCTTTGAGTTCTGATGATTTCTAGTGATTTCTATCACTGGAAATCAGTTTTTTTATGTTCATCGTGAATCGATAGGAATCATCTGAAATGTTTAGAAATGAAGGGAAATCGTAAAAAATCATTAAAAATCAAGAGCAACTACTAGGGACATTGACAATTATGCAAAATCAAAAAGTCATTAGAAATCAGAACTCTATTTCTAATTGTATTAGTGTCGATTTTCTATAATTAAAAGTAATTTCTATTGATTTCTAATGATTGCTCGTCGTTTTTAATGGCTTCTGATGGTTTTCGATAATTTTTAACCAGCTCCAGTCACTATTCGTATCCTTAAGATCTTTTTATTTTGACAAGTCAGCACGAATTTTTAATTTTAGGATAATTATATATTTTGTTAATGTATAATAAAGAAGAGAATAACAATAAATATAATAAATATTAATACAATTTTTTTAAATTTTTTTATAAATTAATTTTATTATTTTTAAGAAAAGAGAAAGATAATAAGAAAAAAGGAGAAAAAAGAGAAAAGACAAGGAGGAAAATAAATAATTAAATAGAGTATGAGGATAACGCGAGGCCTTTCGAATTAATTCTTTTTCAAGCGATTTCTTCAAGAAGTACCATTACAAAGGAAAGTTCAATTGAATCTTGCAGGAACAACTATGTATTGTAGTGTGGGTGTGGGTGTGGGTGAGGGTGTGGGTGCCAATCTTGCTTTCCTTGGCATCTACACCCACACCCACACACACCCACACCCTATATATTGAAATTATTTTATTTCATTTAGATAAAATATAATATAAAGAATTTCAAATATATTCGGATTATTTCTTAAGTTTAAAATATGATAAATAATTATTTTCTATCAATGAGAAAATTCTAGTATGAATAATACACATTTAGACATATAGAATTTCGAGTTTATTTTCTCGTCATCCTTTGTTATTTAAGTTGATCATTAGAAAAATGCTAATTCAAACTATTTATTCATTGATTAAGAAAAAGAATTCGAATAATTTTTATATTAAATTATAATATGAATTAATATATTCATTTTTATATATTTTTCGGATTTATTTTCGTCAATCATATTTTTTTATTTAATCATATTATTAATCAGTTAGAATTTATATAAATATTTATTTATTATTTCAAAAACAAAAAACAACAAAATTTTATAATAGATTTAATTAAACATTATTATTAATTTAATTCTTGTTTATTTTTACTTTAAACTCTTCAAGTTAATTTGAATTCATATTATATTTTATTATCATTAATTAAATATAACAATTTAACACAAAAAAAGAAAAAAAAATATATATATGTGTCTTTAAAGATTTTTAATATTTCACTGAATAATGTTTAAAGAAAAAAAATTTCTATTGAAATTTAATATTGATGATATTATAGTAAATTAATATTGAATAAGTTGAAGACGTATTTGACCTGTTAGATAAGCTAGTCTTTTTTCACTTATGTTTTAAAAATGATCAAGATTTATACATGAGATTTAAATTTATTTTGAAAAATGATAAATAGAAAAACATTAATGAAAAAACAAAAACCTTTTTGTTACCGAATTTGAAGAAATGACAATCAATACAAAAATGAAATATAAAAATAAATTCTCACAGATAATATTATAGATTTTTTAATTTTTTAGATTTTCATTGACATTATCACGTTTTACTGCTCATTTTTAAAAATTAAACAATCGTTTATCTCTTATTGCTGCTCGAGAATATTATCTGCAACTATTAGAAAATAAAACCTTAAAAATATAAATTTTATCAAAAAACAAAATCTATTTAACTTATATTAGTTAATCAATATTGAACAATAATGTCAATATTAACAAGCATTCATCAATAAAGGATATGTTTATGTATTGATAGATCATATATTCTCTATTAGATACAATCTCAATAAAGACTAAAAATCTCGATTC